TCACAGCTCCCTGGCCCCTGCTCCTCCTGGTGGTCTCTACACACTGCCCTGGAGGCGGCCCCATTCCTAAGCTCCTGTATAGAACCCACTTCTGAATCCAGAGTGTCTCTACCCTGGGGCTGGAACTCCCCTTAGTTGCTCAGACATGGTCCCATGCAGAGACTCAGGGACAGCAGAGACAGTCTCCACCTGATCTGGGCTGGGCAAGAAGGACACGGTGATTAACTCTGAATGTCATGTTTATCTGTGGCTCAGGTATCCCGGGTGCAGTGCATGGAAAGGGGTGGCGGTGCCCTTGGAAGGGGCATCAGGTTGCTTGCTGGCTGGAGCCGGGGCTGACCTGTCCCCTGGGAGTCTCAGAAGGAGGAAGTTGGATGCTACACCTGGCTGTTGAGGCCGGGAGAGGCAGGCCTGTGGGGAGCTGGGCCAGGCTGGTGCGTCTTCACCAACACGCTGTTCCCCTCTCTGGGGCCCTTGCTGAGGAAAATAGGAGGGGAAGGGAGTGGGCAAGTTGTGTAATGGGGCAAGCCCGAGGCCTCCTGCAGGCTGGCTTAGTAGGCAGTGATGGGTCCTTCATCACAAGATCCCTCCTTCCGTTTGTCATCTCAGAGAGACTCCAAACCCATCCTTAGCAGCTTTTGACAATGTACCTGAGGCTGAAAGCCATGATGAAAGTCAGGATGGGGAGAGGCAAGGACAGAAGCCTCCCTTAGCTCTGGTGATTCACTTTAAACAAGGAATCCCACGGTCCCTGGGGCTGTACCCACTTGGAAAACAGTGGTATCTGTGTCCCTGGATGCTCCTGAGCCCAATTGAGAAGGTCAAGGCCTTGCTTTCCCTTCAACCAGCTCTGGGCCTGTGGGCACCACGTGTGGCTTGGGCCCAGGGGCAGGAGAGACAGCTAGTTCTGCATGGCCCCTCAGCCTGGAGCCTCAAGTCTGCCGTGAGGTCCTTCTCTGCCCTAACAGAGCCAGGTGTGTGAGGCAAAGCCAGGAAGAAGGGGTCAGTTATTTGGGGGTCGTATGAAGCTTCTGGCTTACTACAACATGGTGACTTAGGACTGTTTGTTGGCTTTTGCCCCATAGTTACTCAGCAGAAATCACAGTAGCAGAAGGAGATATGGATTCTAGGAAGTAATAAACAGACGAGAGAGTGTGGAAACCCAGGAGGCCCAGGCTAAGCTGGTGTCTGAGGTTGACTGGGGGCTATCTGATGAGGGGCAGAGGTGCAGGGAAGGTCAGGGTGGGACTAGGTGGAAGAAAGCTCTGTAGGAGGAGAGTTCCCTCTCCCTGCTCCCTGGCATTCCCTTGGATCACTGCTGCCCCTCCCTTCATTGATCAAATGGTGGCAAAAGCCCTGCTGGGGTAAGAACAAAGATAGGTACTGACCGGCCAGCAGCTCACACCTGCTCTTATGGAACTCCCAGGGCAGGTGGTTAACAATCTAGACTGTCTTCTGTCAACCAAGTCTCCCTTCAAAAGTTCAGAGAGGAGATTCTGACTTTGGTAGAGGGACTCATGGTTCTGGGGTGACCGGGGGTCCCACCCTGGTGCTCACACCCTCTTTCTCTTCAACCCAAAGGATTCACAGAGACCCGTGTCCAAAACTTGTCACCAGACCTGACATGGTGAACTGTTAGAGCAAAGTAGAGAGACTTGGCCAGCTCATCTCCTACAGAAGAAAGATGGCAGAGCCCTTACCAAGAGCAGCCTGCGGGAGGAAGTGGGCCACCAAGAAGTATGTTGGCGACATAAAATGAGGGCCAGGAATATAATATTAACGTGCTTATGTGAAAGAGCACGTTTGTAAACTGGAAGATCAACTTGAAGGGCTTCCTCAGAAGACATCAGGAAAGAATTAAAAAAGAAACAACAATAGAGCTCAGAGATGTGGCCGCTGTTAGAAGAACTGACATCTGACAATGCAGGCGGCAGAGGAGAGAAGAAATTGAATAAAAGAATGGAAGGAATATTGAATAACATTGGAGATAGAATTTTCTATAATAAATGAAAGATGAAAGGCCAGATATTTGGAAGGGCTCACTAATAAGGCAAGACAGGAACAATGAGGAAAACCTGAAGATGTAGAACAGTTTAATGATACCAAAGATTAAAAAATCATATACTTATTTATTATATTAAATAAATTGTATGTAGAATTATATCGTCACAAAGTTACAAGCATCAGGCAGCCATCAGACTTCTCAGCCACATGGAATCATACTTTGGAAATTGTGAAGAACAGAACTTTGAACCTAGAATTTTACATCTAGTGAAACTCTCAAGCTTGAGAAAATAAGAAAACATTTACAGATCTTTTGGGCATGGGTCTCTGTGAGTCCTTTGGGTTGAAGACAAGAGTGGGTGTGAGCACTTT